TCGAGATAATGCAACACTATCTTGCCCCGAGTTGTCCAGTCAACACGGTTACAAACTGTTGCAAATAATTTGTGGAATTTGAAAACAGAAGTATAATGTTTTACCTGTTGACCAGACCACACACTAGAAGGTGAAGGGACGACGACGTTTCGGTCCGTCCTGGACCATTCTCAAGTCGATTGTGACTTGAGAATGGTCCAGGACTGACCGAAACGTCGTCGTCCCTTCACCTTCTAGTGTGTGGTCTGGTCAACATACTTCAGCCACGTTATTGTGACTCATCGCCTGCAAATGTTTTCCCTCATTCCAATATTTCAAAGTTCTGTATAATAAACAAATTCCTAAATATATATTAATTTATATAAGAAAGTCTGTATGAGGTTGGAAATTAGACGTCTGATGGGGCTAGCCTCGCCCATTTTGCCAGGTGAATAGTCCAGGGTATGGGACGGACATAGGCTGGTCCGGGTGGATCCTATTGGTACAATTAAGAGGGAATCGAACCATACAGTTTCCTCCATCTCCCGCCCCCCATTTAATTGGTGAAAGGTTCCTGATCGAGATCCATTTTTTGTACTTCTCTGAGAGAGGAGGGCTGTGTCTGAGGAGAAGGGGACACAGGTGAGAGAGGGAGAGGTGAGGAAAGCAGGAGAGGGGGTAGGAGAAGAGAGGGAGGCATGACAGGTGGCTAGAGTGGGAGATATGGGGAGATTAAGAGAGAGAAGGAGAGGTGGATAGGGGGTGATGGAGAGTGGGAGAGAAGCCTGGCTGCAACAGAGAAACCTACCCCGCATTATTATATATTTAAACTGTATGGAGGATAAGGTCTGTGTTACGTCAGTGTAACACTGAGACACACACACAACGGGGACGAAGCACTATGATCAAACCTCATCAGTTGTGTCATTAACGAGCAATTGTTTTAGCAGCTAACTCAAAAACAAATTGAACACAACTCACGTTCCAATTTTCATCGAACAGTGCTTCTCTCGCTTTCTGTGTTCGAATCCAACCCCTTAAAGGCATAACATGTGTTATTATTATTAACATCTTTATTGACAAAATTAATTACAATTTTGCCTAATCTGAGAATGTTGATAGTCTTATTAAATTGAGGTTAATGCTAGTATTCACTGTCACGCAGGACAGAGGGTCATACATAAGACAATAGGTACATGTGTGATGCTGGCTGGTGGTGGTGGTGCTAGTGGTGGTGCTGGTGCTGGTGACGGTAGCTGGTGGTGGTTGTGGTGCTAGTGAGGGTAAACACGTGCTGGCTGTCTTACACTAAAATGAAAACCACTCCCGGATAATTATGGTCCCGAGGCTAGGTCCGAGGAGTGTGCCTCACCCTCCTGGCGCCACACCACCCTGGCGCCTCACCACCCTGATGTCTCATCACCCTGGCGCCTCACCACCCACACACTCACCACCCAGGGCCTCACCACCCTGGGCCCTCACCACCCTGGGCCCTCACCACCCTGGGCCCTCACCACCCTGGGCCCTCACCACCCACACACTCACCAGTCTAGACAGTGGGGGACATGTTGTACATGGTCTTATGGTCCAGGAGCGGGCCGAGTGATACCATCTACTCTGTGGCAGTGTAATAGTGGAGGCGCCCCGCGGCCCACAGGACCTCCGCCACACACAACACCACCAACACCACCAGGCACCACAAGTGGTGAAACATACGACCATAGGGAAGTAGAGAGACGGACAGAGAGAAGTGTTAGAGAGCCAGAACGAGCGTCTCTGATGGAGACAAACAGAAACTGTATTTGAAGGCGATGAGTCACAATAACGTGGCTGAAGAATGTTGACCAGACCACACATTAGAAGGTAAAGGGACGACGACGACGTTTCGGTCCGTCCTGGACCATTCTCAAGTCGATTGTGGCTAGTCGATTCTCACAATCGACTTGAGAATGGTCCAGGACGGACCGAAACGTCGTCGTCCCTTCACCCTCTAGTGTGTGGTCTGGTCAACATTGTATTTGAAGACGACGTAAGAGATAAAGTAAAGCGCCAACCCCAACTGGTTGGTCCAGAGCCACGTCCGGAGAACAGCAGTAAAGGAACAGTTGATATATCTGAGGATAAGGGAGGAGTCAGTCATTAAGAATGACCAGAATGTGTAGTAGTAGTTGGGCATTGCATTTTATCAAATCACCTCATTCTTTGGGGCACACGTGAGGAACACAATTGCGAAGAAGCCTGAATGGTCCCCAGGACTATATGCAACTGAAAACTCACACCCCAGAAGAGACTCGAACCCATACTGCCAGGAGCAATGCAACTGGTATCTACAGGACGCCTTAATCCGCTAAGGAACACAGGGGTCGTGAAGAGTGAGGCGAGGTGTCAGGAGTTGTGGTGTCGCATCAAACAAGTCTCCAGCACCTCTCACCACCACACAACATCTCATACTATTGAAGAGACGTGACATAATTCCAAATCTGGGAGACAGAGTCCGGGTGAGTGTCGGGAAACACCTGCTCCACACACACATACACCTGCTGGACATACACCTGCTCCACACACACACCTGCTGGACATACACCTGCTCCACACACACCTGCTGGACGTACACCTGCTCCACACACACACCTGCTGGACGTACACCTGCTCCACACACACCTGCTGGACGTACACCTGCTCCACACACACACCTGCTGGACGTACACCTGCTCCAGATACACCTGGAGACAAGAGACAAGAGTAGGAGTGACGACAACCTTGACACCTGCCGCTGATGGAAAGCAATAAGCAGGCAGATCAATACACCTTCATCAGGTGGTGTTATCAGCCAGCTACACCTTCATCAGGTGGTGTTATCAGCCAGCTACACCTTCATCAGGTGGTGTTATCAGCCAGCTACACCTTCATCAGGTGATGTTATCAGCCAGCTACACCTTCATCAGGTGGTTTTATCAGCCAGCTACACCTTCATCAGGTGGTGTTATCAGCCAGCTACACCTTCATCAGGTGGTGTTATCAGCCAGCTACACCTTCATCAGGTGGTGTTATCAGCCAGCTACACCTTCATCAGGTGGTGTTATCAGCCAGCTACACCTTCATCAGGTGGTGTTATCAGCCAGCTACACCTTCATCAGGTGGTGTTATCAGCCAGCTACACCTTCATCAGGTGGTGTTATCAGCCAGCTACACCTTCATCAGGTGGTGTTATCAGCCAGCTACACCTTCATCAGGTGGTGTTATCAGCCAGCTACACCTTCATCAGGTGGTGTTATCAGCCAGCTACACCTTCATCAGGTGGTGTTATCAGCCAGCTACACCTTCATCAGGTGATGTTATCAGCCAGCTACACCTTCATCAGGTGGTGTTATCAGCCAGCTACACCTTCATCAGGTGGTGTTATCAGCCAGCTACACCTTCATCAGGTGGTGTTATCAGCCAGCTACACCTTCATCAGGTGGTGTTATCAGCCAGCTACACCTTCATCTGGTGGTGTTATCAGCCAGCTACACCTTCATCTGGTGGTGTTATCAGCCAGCTACACCTTCATCTGGTGGTGTTATCAGCCAGCTACACCTTCATCTGGTGGTGTTATCAGCCAGCTACACCTTCATCAGGTGGTGTTATCAGCCAGCTACACCTTCATCAGGTGGTGTTATCAGCCAGCTACACCTTCATCAGGTGGTGTTATCAGCCAGCTGCCCTGGAGGCCTCCTGGCGTGGAGGTCACATTAACATACACACATGGCTCGCTCCGGCCTCTCACGCCGCCTGGCCAACCTCTTGACATTTCTCTCTCTCACTTCTCTCCATCAAACTTGGTCTCTAACCTCAAATATTTGATACCAAAAAAGTGACACGAATGCCTTGGCTTGACTAATGTGGGAGATGATAGTGGCGGGTGTTGGCAAGATGGGGGGGGGGGGATTAGTGAAGCACTGAGCACTGAGGGCTCAGTGCTTAGTGCTGCATAGAGAGGCTCAGTACTCAGTTCTGCACTGAGGGCTTCTGAAGCAAGGCTCGCAAACTCATTTCTACCTGCCTGGCTAACCTCAAAGACCCGTCGGAAGCGTCTGTGAATGGTATGAATGATATGTGAATATGTGAATACGTGACTAGTAGCAGTTACTGTGGTGGCTGGGGCATGAACCCTGCTGGACCTACCATGGTCACCAATGACTGTATCCCAGACTACACATCTTGTGAGACAGTGCGAGGGCCTTAGCTCCTGGGCCTGACTCATCAGGTCTCCTTCACTGCATAAACACCGTCAAGACAAGGCCTATTAGGAGGCAGGGCTCCGAGACTAGGCCTACCGGTAGACAGGGCTCCGGTACTAAGCCTACCAGAGATAGGTCTTCGAGAGTAGGCCTACCCAGACATAACTGGTTATACAGACTATTGATGAGATATTTGTATCGTGTCAGGAACAGGATATGTTTTCATAATTGTAGTATTAACTATCCAGAGGTCGACTACAGGCTGTATCGCATTAAGGATAGGCTCAGGGAGGTTATGTAGCATAGTAGTATTGGACGAAAGATCGTATTATCGGACGAAAGATCGTATTATCGGACGAAAGATCGTATTATCGGACGAAAGATCGTATTATTGGATGAAAGATCGTATTATCGGACGAAAGATCGTATTATTGGAAGAAAGATCGTATTATCGGACGAAAGATCGTATTATTGGACGAAAGATCGTATTATTGGACGAAAGATCGTATTATTGGACGATCAAAAGATCGTATTATTGGACGAAAGATCGTACGTTGGATCGTAGTCTTGGATTTAAACTCATAATATTGGAAACAGGCTAGTTAAATTGGACGAAGGCTCGTAAATATGATATAATTTTGGACGTAGGCTCGTACACGGGATCCTAATCGACGCAGCTTACATATTTTATCATTAGAAATCTAGAAACATATTTGTGAATAATTAATATAAGTTACCTGGAGTGTATTTATGTACTACATCTGACGTAATGGCTTAACTACTCAATCATTCTTGTTTCAGGTCACCTGGATGATGCAAAGTGCGCTCTTGTTACATCGTGTGACGCTCCTGCTTGTGGCTCTTGTTACTCAGGTGAGGTGGCTCTTGTTACTCAGGTGAGGTGGCTCTTGTTACATCGTGTGACGCTCCTGCTTGTGGCTCTTGTTACTCAGGTGAGGTGGCTCTTGTTACTCAGGTGAGGTGGCTCTTGTTACTCAGGTGAGGTGGCTCTTGTTACTCAGGTGAGGTGGCTCTTGTTACACAGGTGAGGTGGCTCTTGTTACACAGGTGAGGTGGCTCTTGTTACACGGGTGAGGTGGCTCTTGTTACACGGGTGAGGTGGCTCTTGTTACTCAGGTGAGGTGGCTCTTGTTACTCAGGTGAGGTGGCTCTTGTTACTCAGGTGAGGTGGCTCTTGTTACACAGGTGAGGTGGCTCTTGTTACACAGGTGAGGTGGCTCTTGTTACACGGGTGAGGTGGCTCTTGTTACTCAGGTGAGGTGGCTCTTGTTACTCAGGTGAGGTGGCTCTTGTTACTCAGGTGAGGTGGCTCTTGTTACTCAGGTGAGGTGGCTCTTGTTACTCAGGTGAGGTGGCTTTTGTTACACAGGTGAGGTGGCTCTTGTTACACGGGTGAGGTGGCTCTTGTTACACGGGTGAGGTGGCTCTTGTTACACAGGTGAGGTGGCTCTTGTTACTCAGGTGAGGTGGCTCTTGTTACACGGGTGAGGTGGCTCTTGTTACACGGGTGAGGTGGCTCTTGTTACTCAGGTGAGGTGGCTCTTGTTACACGGGTGAGGTGGCTCTTGTTACACTGGTGAGGTGGCTCTTGTTACACGGGTGAGGTAGCTCTTGTTACACAGGTGAGGTGGCTCTTGTTACTCAGGTGGGGTGGCTCTTGTTACTCAGGTGAGGTGGCTCTTGTTACTCAGGTGAGGTGGCTCTTGTTACTCAGGTGAGGTGGCTCTTGTTACTCAGGTGAGGTGGCTCTTGTTACTCAGGTGAGGTGGCTCTTGTTACACGGGTGAGGTGGCTCTTATTACACGGGTGAGGTGGCTCTTGTTACACAGGTGAGGTGGCTCTTGTTACTCAGGTGAGGTGGCTCTTGTTACTCAGGTGAGGTGGCTCTTGTTACTCAGGTGAGGTGGCTCTTGTTACTCAGGTGAGGTGGCTCTTGTTACTCAGGTGAGGTGGCTCTTGTTACTCAGGTGAGGTGGCTCTTGTTACACAGGTGAGGTGGCTCTTGTTACTCAGGTGAGGTGGCTCTTGTTACACGGGTGAGGTGGCTCTTGTTACACGGGTGAGGTGGCTCTTGTTACTCAGGTGAGGTGGCTCTTGTTACACGGGTGAGGTGGCTCTTGTTACACGGGTGAGGTGGCTCTTGTTACTCAGGTGAGGTGGCTCTTGTTACACGGGTGAGGTGGCTCTTGTTACACGGGTGAGGTGGCTCTTGTTACACGGGTGAGGTGGCTCTTGTTACACAGGTGAGGTGGCTCTTGTTACTCAGGTGAGGTGGCTCTTGTTACTCAGGTGAGGTGGCTCTTGTTACTCAGGTGAAGTGGCTCTTGTCATTCGGGTGAGGTGGCTCTTGTTACTCAGGTGAGGTGGCTCTTGTTACTCAGGTGAGGTGGCTCTTGTTACTCAGGTGAGGTGGCTCTTGTTACTCAGGTGAGGTGGCTCTTGTTACTCAGGTGAGGTGGCTCTTGTTACTCAGGTGAGGTGGCTCTTGTTACACGGGTGAGGTGGCTCTTGTTACTCAGGTGAGGTGGCTCTTGTTACTCAGGTGAGGTGGCTCTTGTTACTCAGGTGAGGTGGCTCTTGTTACTCAGGTGAGGTGGCTCTTGTTACACGGGTGAGGTGGCTCTTGTTACAGGGGTGAGGTGGCTCTTGTTACACGGGTGAGGTGGCTCTTGTTACAGGGGTGAGGTGGCTCTTGTTACACGGGTGAGGTGGCTCTTGTTACAGGGGTGAGGTGGCTCTTGTTACACAGGTGAGGTGGCTCTTGTTACACGGGTGAGGTGGCTTTTGTTACACGGGTGAGGTGGCTCTTGTTACTCAGGTGAGGTGGCTCTTGTTACTCAGGTGAGGTGGCTCTTGTTACTCAGGTGAGGTGGCTCTTGTTACTCAGGTGAGGTGGCTCTTGTTACTCAGGTGAGGTGGCTCTTGTTACTCAGGTGAGGTGGCTCTTGTTACTCAGGTGAGGTGGCTCTTGTTACACAGGTGAGGTGGCTCTTGTTACTCAGGTGAGGTGGCTCTTGTTACACGGGTGAGGTGGCTCTTGTTACTCAGGTGAGGTGGCTCTTGTTACACAGGTGAGGTGGCTCTTGTTACACGGGTGAGGTGGCTCTTGTTACACGGGTCCACAAAGAGACCAACATTGAAAGCCTGGTGACTAATGTATGGAATTGTGAGGAAATTCTAAAGCTAAATTAGTTGCAAATAACATAAAGATTGAGCAAGAGCTGCACACAAGGGTTATGCTGAGGCCAACTTCCCCCCCCCTCCCTCCCTCTCTTATTGCTCCTGCAAGTAACGCGACGTATGCAAATGAAGTGCAACGTGAGCTTTGAATTAAATATTCACACCCAGATGTTCAGCTCCAAGACTAACGCCATCCTCTTGGGTGTGAATTAATGGGATTCCATATATCTTGTCGTGGTATCCCTCTCTCTCTCTCTTCTTTATTCACTCTTTCTTTCTTATCTCTCCCTTCTCCCCTCTCATTATCTGCCCTAGTGATGGAGCCGATCATTAGGGTAATCCTTGAGAGATCTGTTCCCCTGTTCCTCGATTAAGCTCTCCCGTGCACCAGTCCCTAATGACTCAAATTGTTTAAACTGCAAACCACAATAGTTTGGGAATAACATTTTAACCATCGGGCGAGTGTGGTGGCGTGGAACGTGCACCCAAGCAAGTACCAGGCAGGTGCTCTACCGCTCTACCACAGGACCCATTAAACTAGGTCAGTAATGGGGAGGCGAGACATAGTCACGTCCTCACTGGTCAACCCGAGCTCTCAGAAGATAATTATATAGACTTTACGGAAGGAAATGACGAGTCGCTCCTGCGGGATGTCGCAGACGCCAGTTCCAGGCAGCCACCAGCAAAGATTATTATAGTCTGCGTGTACGCAACCCGTCCTCTTAAAAATAACGTCACTTTTGGCTCGTATGCGCACTATGGCCAAATTTGGACGTAATTTGAAATGAAATTGACTCACAAAAGTGACGTACTGTTCCGTTTTCTGTTTGAGTCGTCCGGCCGACTCTGCAAGGTTAGAATAGATGACTTTCAATTCACGTTTTTCATAACGTTTTGAAACTTTATGAGAATTTCCTGCCCACCTAACCTATCAGAAGACCCTTAACTTACTGTTGTTGAAAAAATAAATCCCAAATTTATTTTCATTTTTTTTCATTTTCAAATTACGTCCAAATTCGGCCATACGGGCAAACGACCAAAAGCGACATTCTTTTTAAGAGGACAGGTTGCCGAACTCACTGATGTTGCTCTGTGTGAGAGAGAGTGTGTGTGTGTGAGGGCAAGCGTGAGACCATGAGGGATGAGTACATGAGTAGATGAGTTACCTACTTCAGAAACAATTTTGTTCAGCAATAATCAGGCCAATAATGATGAAGATGTTATCTAGTCTAACTTAATTCTTGTCCCCCCATACATCCTCCCCCACACCCCCTCACCCCACACCCCTCCCCCCACAACCCACCTCCCTCCCCCCCATACCTGGTAATAGGTACCTTCAGACCAATTACTAGCGCACATCCCTATGCTGGCGCGCAGTCCCCGTGGCGTAGTGGTAGGAGGGACGGGTATAAGCACTTCTCGTGGCGCAGTGGTAAAGCACTCGTCCGGCGTTTCATGAGCGCTTTGGCCTGGGTTCGTATCCTGGCCGGGGAGGATTGTTAGCTGTGCCCTCTGTTCACCCAACAGTGAATGGGTACCAGGTTGTTAAACAATTTGGCGGGTCGTATTCCGGGGAATATTAGGATTATGGACCTGGCGGAAACGCTATGCGTGCTGGTGGCTGTGCAAAAATGTAATAGCTCTTGTATATATAAATAAATAAAATAAAAAAATAAATATATGAAGTAACGCCCAAAACTGTTGAGTTACTCCTCTTACGTAAAAGACAATTTTCTGAGAATTCAAGCTACTCGTTTTCTGAAGCCAGGCTGGAGGACTGCATGGTACACTTGTGTAATAATACATCTTCATCTGATACACGTGGTCGGGAACAGAAACCCTGTACTTACACTTGTATCAAAGTTCCTTCCCCCTTAGATCGACCTGCTGACCTTCACAGGATGCAACCCACAACAGTTGTCTAGCTCTCAGGTACCTATTTACTGTTAAGTGAACAGAAGCATCACGGGAAAGGAAACATTTCCCAAATATCTGCCGTCCTGTCGCGGCAATCAAGCCTGGAACCTTTCGGGTGTGACTCGATTGCGCTGACCACTGAGCTACAGGACCCAAACGTCTCGCAGACCAGAATTCATCTGGTACTTAAGTCTCTACTTACGAAATCTATACATCTCTTCTCAAAAATGGCAGCTTAATTTGTATTTTTTAAACAGTTTACGAGCTCGGAAGCGCTACGAGGTTGATTATAACAAAATAACCTCGGGTTGTGAAGTTTAGAAGCTCGTAACGTGTTTGGTAAATACAGACTAAGCCGCCATAATTAAGGAAAGATGATCAGGCTTCGTAAACCGACACTTAAGTGCTTGATAAATCTTGATGGAGTGATAAGGCCCAGGAGTGTCTCCTTCGCTCGGGCGCAGATACCATCACTACCACTGGTAGTCACCATTATGACAGCCATATTTGTTGCGGTTAAAAAAGATACCATTGGAATATCACGAGGCTGTACTCACCTAGTTGTACTCACCTAGCTGTGTGTTGGGGGTTGATGACTGAGGCCGTCGGGGGGGGGGGGGTATCCCCCTCTCCTTCCCAAGACTCCTCTACTCTCTCCTCCTCGTCTTACTTCTCCTACCACTCCTCTCCTCCTCTTCCTCACCGTTGTCAACCACTGTGGCTCACCAGTCGCCGATGCCATTAAAATAAATATGCAGTAATTACTAGGGTCGGAAATGTAAGAGTTGAGAACAAAGAAGAGATGATGGCGGCCCACAGACGGCCGCCTCGCACGCCCGCGCCTTCCCAATAGTCTTTGTGGCCTCCTGACGCCCCGCTGGAGGTGTGACCCGGGAGTCTTTGTGTGTAGCCTCACACTCCAGTACTCCTCGGGACCCCTGGTGCTCCGGGGACCCCAGGTGCTCCAGGGACCCCAGGTGCTCCAGGGACCCCAGGTGCCCCGGGGACCCCAGTTGTCCCGGGGACCCCAGTTGCCCCGGGGACCCTAGGTACCCTCGGGGATCCCAGGTGCTCCAGGCACACCCCGATACCTCATACCAACAGGTCTGAAGGGTTTAATGACTCTTCTTCTCACACTGAATAATTTAGTGTGAGATCATGCCGCAGTTCCTGCTCACAGTGTTTGCACCTGGAGTGCTCAGGATTGGGAAATTCGTCACCTGTAGCCAACTGCCACAGGTGGCTGCAGTTCGTCCTGTTGAGTATTGGACTGAGCCATCAGTGTAAACACAATGCTTGAGAATTTTTAGAATATGATAGAGGAGGTAATTGTTTTAAGTGTGACAGCTTTAAAAAAGAGAGATTCTCATTAGCTTTCTTAGTGACGGGTGTGTATGATACTTGAATGATGAGGTACATATAAAGAATGATATCAGTGACATATATATATATTAAATTTAAAAGGTATGTTCAATTTGATGAGATCGTAGGCATTTTAAGTCAGCATTTATCATACACAGAGAAGGTGATGTGCTAGCAACATTTACTGGTGTACTTAAGGAACAAAATATTTTCTCTGAGCAATGCTGTAGGTGTCATGGTGGTCAGGTGTCAGGTCTCTCATGACTTTAAGGCAAAAAGTCGTGTTGATTTGCATGATTCTTTCCTGTATGGTTGGAAGCGTCAGCTCTTCCCTCGTGTTAATTATTCTTGTGCATCTTGGGGCACCAAGAATCACCCCTCATAGCTTCATTCTGTATTACTTCTAATGTGTTCAAAATAGAGGTGAAGAAGTTATCACTTTGCATGATAATGCATGATAAATGCATGGCAATGCATGATAATTATCACCTTGCATGATAATCAACTATAAGGATCTAATAAATTTTTGTATGAACACATTTAGGTACAATCTGCATTTGTGCGGCTACCCTAGACTATATGAAAGGGAGTACAGTGTGTGTCACAAAGCTAGCTACGCGGTGCTAAAAGTCCCCATCACACAGGATGGTTAGTCATACAGAGGCACGTGATAGGGATCTAATAAACATTATGTTAACAGCGGACAAGTCTAGGGATGTAAGTGGCCACATTTCAGTGTGACTCTTGCAAAACTTACCTGATCGTTTAGTGTCAGAAGATTTCCAACAACTGGAATTGTTGATATTCATAGGCTATTAATAGAATATTAAGGTAATATTTATAGAGCATGAACTATAGTGAATTATGTTGTAACTTGTGTACGAATGGACACAACATACATGGAGTGATACGTGTGAGAGGTTGTTGTTGTTGTTAAAGATTCGCTACCTGGAACAAAATTCCAAGTAGCACGGGCTATGGTGAGCCCGTAAGAGGTAGTGGGTACTGGTGAATATACAGTTTACAGAAAACACACACATATAACAATCCCTGTTCCAAGACCTCATCCAGCTCTTCGGAAGTGGGATGCGTGCTCAAGATACAGCACGCATTTCTTCTCTGGATTGTGACACTGAGGCGTTGGAACAAGAAACTGGCCACTCATGAGTCTAGTTTGCCTAATGAGTTTCTCACCCACCTCGTTTAGAAACCTAAGTGCACATTTACCCCAGGCGCCCAGAGTCTCAGAGCCTATCGGCACGAACCTGTAACAACGTTCTAGGTCCCTGTACTTGTTAGTTTTCTGGGTCTCCCTGAAGGTGGCCGCCCCGCCTCCCTCAGCTGTGCTGTAAGGTAGATAGGTATCAGCCAATGTAGACGCTCACGTGTAGTCCCACACGACCTGTTTACCTTCCCTCCATGGCTGCAGGGTGACTCCATCTGGGCGTTTTTGGCTGTTGTCAGGTCTGCACAACTGAGGTTCCCTTTGTGCTGGGCACCCAGCTGTAGCCAAACTTCTCTTGATGATGTCAGTGACTGCTTCATGTCTGGCAATCTTTCCCTGTGTCTTGCGACAGATGAGACCATGGCTGCCGTATTGGTCTGCCGACGCATAGCCGCAGATACACCGGTGCTCGGTGGAGACAGGGGCGGCAAGGCGCAGGGCAACACCAATACTTAGGGCCCGATGGTCCAGGCGGGTGTCCAAGGCGGAATTAGGGACTTCCAACAGGAAGTCCCCAGCATGGGGTGGGGGGGGGGGGGGGTTGTACAGCTAGGAGACGCCTTGAGGTGCTTCCGGGGCTCAGCGTCCCCGCGGCCCGGTCGTCGACCAGGCCTCCTCGCGCTCTGTCCTTCTCAGTAGCTGCCTCCAGCAATGCTGTGGCGACGTTCCATTAGGGCTGTCCCATTTGGCCTGTTTGCAGTCGTTTGGAAAAGTTGGTCGAGAGTGAGAGTTCTCTCTCTCTCTGAGAGAGAGAGTGATGAGATGCCTGGCACTGTCGTAACTGCCTGTCAGTCCTTGTCCTACCCACCAACACATGACCCCAGTAATGTATAGTGACCTCGTGGTGACCTTGGGCCCTATTTACCCCTAGTAGTGACCAGCCGCCGCCAAGGTGAGTACTGGGACAACAGCCGTCGGCCTGGTAGTCAACTACTCCCTCTCTTACACCCGTATACTTGTAATATCACGTTACGAATGTTGTCTTCTGTTAGAAGAATGTTAATTTACTAAGAACATTTGTCATATACACCATTACTAATGATAATTACAGAAGCTGTATTTCATGTGTAAATCAATCATTTCTGTCAGGAGCCAAGTGTAATTGTGAGTTGACTAGACCACACACTAGAAGGTGAAGGGACGACGAAGTTTCGGTCCGTCCTGGACCATTCTCAAGTCGATTGAGAATGGTCCAGGACGGGCCGAAACGTCGTCGTCCCTTCACCTTCTAGTGTGTGGTCTGGTCAACATACTTCAGCCACGTGACTGACTCGTCGCCTAACTGTGAGTGTTGGTCCGCCAGGGCGGGTGTTGGCAGCCCGCGGCCACCAGTCTGGTGGTGAGGTGTGAGGTGCACCAACGCTACGCCTCCACCACCGTCCTCACCATCCTCACCAACACTCGGCCCCGCCCTCAACACCTCCTCCTCAACGCTATCCTCCCCAAGGACGCTTATGTCTCATCCTTAACAATGTGAGTAGTGCGCTTCTTGGTGTGAGGCTGTATGATTGTTACGTTATGTATGGTGAATTATAATATGTATGGCCAACACCATCTTAGGTACCAGGTGACATTATACATTATAATCAATAACATAGCGTATAGTGGACCTCTACAATTAAAACTTATTTGTATAACGCAATATACAACGTTGTTTTATTTGACTGTAGTCGCTCTGTAAGTATAGGTTGTATAGCACATTGTATGATCCTGTAATACATTATCAGATGTATGAACAGTTACTGTAGAACCCGAAGTCTCGTATGATCTCTTGTTTGACCCGACAGAGAGACGGGAGGCAGGAATTACACGACGGAGGTGAAGGAACGTGGACGGGGAGGACGGAGAGGCCCTCTCAACCCCCGCCCCCACAGGTAGGGAACCCCGCCCCCACCACGCCCACCCTCACAGGTAGGCTACACCACCCACACCTGTACTACACACCTGCACACATTTCTACACCTTAAGCCTCACAGTAAACAATTCCACCGCCATTAATACCACCACAACATTGATTACTTCTCCCGCCAAAACAATTATTTGTTTCCAATAGCGAGCATGGAAAATAACGAGAGAGTGAGCTCGTATCCCTTACACGAGGCGCCGTGCCTTCTGTTGACGGGCGTGAGGCGCCTTGTTCACCCCGGGGCACCTTGTTCACCCCGGGGCACCTTGTTCACCCCGGGGCACACCTTGTTCACCCCGGGGCACCTTGTTCACCCCGGGGCACCTTGTTCACCCCGGGGCACACCTTGTTCACCCCGGGGCACCTTGTTCACCCCGGGGCACCTTGTTCACCCCGGGGACCACCTTGTTCATCCCTGTCTCTTGCTACCGGAGTAGCGAGAGACAGGGATAAATAGGTATTACTAATCATACGTAATTGTATTTTTTAGTCATTTTTGTATTTAATTGTTCTCATTTAACCCATCATGAAGATCAAAGACAGAAACCTTGAACGTTCACTTGTCAATTAAACCCTTGTGTGTGTGTGTGTGTGTGTGTGTGTGTGTGTGTGTGTGTGTGTGTGTGTGTGTGTGTGTGTTTATCTAATGTGCGACCCGGAATTGTTCAAGGATAAGCTGGGATAGTTCCACGTCCCAATGAGGGGAAAATAATTTCCCTTCATTGGCAAGTTATATAAGATTATTATTGTAAATTTAATTAGCTTGATGGAGAGACACCTCGATACACCGGCCACCTCTGAGACAATGACCATCGTGTCTGTAGAGGGACTTTATCTTGTCTTTAAAATTGCTAAAAAATAAAGCTCTTTGCAATCATATAATTAGAGTCCATATTGTGAATGTGACGGAGGTGGAGGTCCACAGAGAGAGCAACACGGAGGAGACCCAACGCTTCAGGGCTGGCACCAGGGTCGAGGCTCACCACACTGCCACCTTCTACCTCACCTACGAGCAGCTCCTCGTCCGCCTCCACGGTCACTACGCCCTCACCATCTACCTCCCTCCTCACACTGTGAGTATTGTCCTCCCGCGCCCCATCACACCCTCACTCACCCTTCCTGCTCACTCGTACCCATCTACACCTAACATCAAAGACTGCCAAGTAAACTATATATTCTACGACATCTGGATCAATGTAACTAACTTGACATTTGCGACATTTGAAGCATATTTTACTGTATTATTTTGGGCAGAGAAGATGGCACTGGATGACGACCTGTCGTGACAGTCGTCGCCACTCACACTCCAGTGGTCTGACCTGCTGCAGCCACTGGCATGCGTTGGCCAGACCACACACTAGAATGCGAAGGGACGACGACGTTTCGGTCCGTCCTGGACCATTCTCAAGTCGATTCTCAATCGACTTGAGAATGGTCCAGGACGGACCGAAACGTCGTCGTCCCTTTACCTTCTAGTGTGTGGTCTGGTCATCATACTTTACCCACGTTATTGTGACTCATCGCCTGGCATACGTTACTCCGCCTGGCCCGCTCCAGCCTAAGAAACATTATCACCATATAACTTTATGTAACATTGCCATTGATTATTACTTTTGTAACGAGTGAGTGACGCAGACGGTGTGGTTGCAGGAGGGGGCGGAGCACGAGGTGCAGGTGGTGCTCCGGGAGACACAGCCCATCACACACTTCCACCTGCAGCACCTCCCTCAGCCTCACCAACACCACCAACCTTACGGTAAGCTGCCGCAGCTTCACAGCTTCAGGTTAATGTGAACCGACGCAGTCCTGGGCTGTGCTCACCCTTAAAGCTGGGGAAAGTTATATGCTACGTCCAAGTTAGGGCATTATGGCTTGGGTTAACATTAAGCTTAAGTAAAACTTGAACTTGCGCTGAAATTTGACAATTCTTGGCTGTACCTTTTTAGAAATAAAATTAAATGATCATACAAAAATCCAACTTGTGTAGTTTGTGTTGAAGCATAAATGTTGATTTTTTTTTTATCTTTATTTAAGAAAATACAATATAAAATGTTGAATTAGACAATAATGGATTAGACCAATCGACTTCAGAATGGTCCAGGACGGACCGAAACGTCGTCGTCCCTTCACCTTCTAGTATGTGGTCTGGTCAACATACTTTAGCCACGTTATTGTGACTCATCGCCTGCATACAGACAATAATGTTATGTGTACTCCGGCCGAGGTCTCGGTGACTAATGGTAGTTAGGTTCAGGCTTCGTCAAGACACAAGTAAGCTGTGATTAGCAGTAGATGGTCAACAGACATGTACTGTAGATATTGTCCCTTTCTTCCCCAGTACAAGAGGAGTTGGTAAGTCCGCACGAGGTGCGGGTGAGCTACCTCCGGAGTAACGGCCAGCGTAACACCACCGGCCTCAGTAGTAACGTCACCATCAGTACTGACAGCAGTAGCAGCAACAGTAGCAGCGCCAGTGACGGCCCACACAGCCAGGGAGACGTCCTGGCCATCACCTATGATGTGGAGAGGACGCCCGACGGAGGAGAGTTCCAGGTGAGGTTTCCACCACTCCACTCCTGGTCACGCTCACCCTCGAGCTGGTCACGCTCACCCTCGAGCTGGTCACGCTCACCCTCGAGCTGGTCACGCTCAGCTGGTCACGCTCACCCTCAAGCTGGTCACGCTCACCCTCGGGCTGGTCACGCTCACCCTCGAGCTGGCCAGGCTCACCCTCGAGCTGGTCACGCTCACCCTCGAGCTGGTCACGCTCACCCTCGAGCTGGTCACGTTCACCCTCGGGCTGGTCACGCTCACCCTCGGGCTGGTCACGCTCACCCTCGAGCTGGTCACGCTCACCCTCGAGCTGGTCACGCTCACCCTCGGTCTGGTCACGCTCACCCTCGAGCTGGTCACGCTCACCCTCGAGCTGGTCACGCTCACCCTCGGGCTGGTCACGCTCACCCTCGAGCTGGCCAGGCTCACCCTCGAGCTGGTCACGCTCACCCTCGAGCTGGTCACGCTCACACTCGAGCTGGTCACGTTCACCCTCGGGCTGGTCACGCTCACCCTCGGGCTGGTCACGCTCACCCTCGAGCTGGTCACGCTCACCCTCGAGCTGGTCACGCTCACCCTCGAGCTGGTCACGTTCACCCTCGGGCTGGTCACGCTCACCCTCGGGCTGGTCACGCTCACCCTCGAGCTGGTCACGCTCACCCTCGAGCTGGTCACGCTCACCCTCGGACTGGTCACGCTCACCCTCGAGCTGGTCACGCTCATTCTCGAGCTGGTCACGCTTACCCTCGGGCTGGTCACGCTCACCCTCGAGCTGGTCACGCTCACCCTCGGGCTGGTCACGCTCACCCTCGGGCTGGTCACGCTCACCCTCGGGCTGGTCACGCTCACCCTCGAGCTGGTCACGCTTACCCTCGGGCTGGTCACGCTCACCCTCGAGCTGGTCACGCTCATGGAGAGTTACAACTTAGCGAGGACAAGGGGGACCGTCCGGGAGGCAGAGTGTGACCTTGCAACAACAACAACAACACTTGTCTCTCATCTCACATCTACACGAGCTTTGATCTTAGTCTTGTTGGCGCCAGAATATAAAATGTTTTTCTTGCAATCAGCGGATGTACTCAACCTCTCTCTCTCTCTCTTCGTCCTGTGTGTGTGTGTGTGTGTGTGTGTGTGTGTGTGTGTGTGTGTGTGTGTGTGTGTGTGTGTGTGTGTGTGTGTGTGTGTGTGTGTGTGTGTGTGTGTGTGTGTGACCCCCCCCCCCCCGCCCCTTCAGGTGCTGGGAAGACACTTCGTGCACCACTTCTGCCCCGAGGGGCTGCCCAAGCTGCCCACCCATACAGTGTTCGTCCTCGACGTGTCCGGATCCATGCAAGACTTCGACAAGCTGACGCAGCTCAAGGTGGCCATGGAGGCCATCCTCAGAGGACTACCGCCGGAGGACTCTTTCGAGGTGAGGACCGCTGATGGTGGAGGGGGAGTGTTGGAGGAGGAGTGATCTTGGAGGGGGAGTGTTGGAGGGGGAGTGGTGGTGGTGGGATAGGGAGTAGTACCTCCTCCACACACAAACCCACAACCCCAACACCCCCTCATCCAGAAGACCCTCTCCCCCGCTCTCACCCACACTTCCCCACCACTAAACTCTTATTCCCCCACAGTCATACCTCGTAGACTTTGTCACCACCTCCCATATGTCCTGACACCACCTCCACAGTGAAATATACATTAAATAATACATTAAAATCTGCACCCCAAAGAGTCCACGATTTTATGAAGTTCACCTCAGTAGTGACAGGTATATTAGTAGCTGAGGCTGGGCTGCCCTACCCACTACCAGTACCGCTGGCTGCCCTACCCACTACCAGTACCCCTGGCTGCCCTACCCACTACCAGTACCCCTGGCTGCCCTACCCACTACCAGTACCCCTGGCTGCCCTACCCACTACCAGTACCCCTGGCTGCCCTACCCACTACCAGTACCCCTGGCTGCCCTACCCACTACCAGTATCCCTGGCTGCCCTACCCACTACCAGTACCCCTGGCTGCCCTACCCACTACCAGTACCCCTGGCTGCCCTACCCACCAGTACCCCTGGCTGCCCTACCCACCAGTACCCCCGGCTGCCCCTGGCGGGTGACACACCTCCTCCCGCAGGTGCTAGTGTTCTCTACGCGGGTGACGTCCCTGGGCGTGTACCGGGCGGCCAGGCCCCGGGAGGTGGAGCGCGGCGTGGCCAAGATACACCGCCTCCAGGCCCTCGGCGGCACTAACTTCAACGACGCCCTCCTGCAGGCGGTGACGGGGGCCAACCTCCACAACGCCTCCCACGATACAGTAAAACAGGTACAGTCCTTACTACAGGTACAGGTACAGGCACATTTTGTGCTGCTATATTTACCATCTCATTAACATCCCACTTGTAGGCGATGAGTCACAATAACGTGGCTAAAGTATGATGACCAGACCACACACTAGAAGGTGAAGGGACGACAACGTTTCGGTCCGTCCTGGACCATTCTCAAGTCGATTGTGAGAACAATCGACTTGAGAATGGTCCAGGACGGACCGAAACGTTGTCGTTCCTTCACATTCTAGTGTGTGGTCTTGTCATCATCCCACTTATAATAACCAATCATCCATTTGGACGCGTCAATCATGTCACCCAAACTCTTCGACTTTCTAAAGAATGTAAATTAAGCACTTTTAACCTCTCTTCCCATGAAAGGTTCTCTAATTCCTGGGATTATTTAACCTCATTTGTACTAATTTTGTTTCCGTTGATATAACGATGCCCTAATGGCTAGACCATTAGCTCAGGCGATAGAGCGTCCGCCTCACACACTTGGGATCCAGGGTTCGTGTCTCCTACAACCCGGGTTAATGGAATTTCCTTTCACCTCATGCCCCTGTTCACCTAGTAGTAAATAGGTACCCGGCAGTTAGGCAGCTATTGTCAGGACGCCCCCTGGGGGAGGGTGAGTAGTTTCACCTTGGGGGGGACGTTGATACAAGCCTAAACTTATATGTATACAAAGTTTCCTGTCCCCGACAACGGGGACTATAAAAAATGTCTTACCTACGCTTGAAACAATCCAGTGATCCCTCGTCTATTACATTACCCGATAATCTCTTCCACAGATCAACAACCCTGTTACCAAACCAGTATTTACCCAGGGCTTTCCTAAATCTAATCTTATCTAATTTGTATCCATTGTTTTGTGTTCTCGTTTGTGTTGATATATTTAATGGCTTATAATAATAATATTTAGTTGTGTCGGGGGACAGGATGCCAGAGTGTATTCATACACGTTAGGCTTTTATCTCCACCACACACCGTCTCCACCACACACACCGTCTCCACCACACACACCGTCTCCACCACACACCGTCTCCACCACACACCGTCTCCACCACACACCGTCTCCACCACACACACCGTCTCCACCACACACACCGTCTCCACCACACACACCGTCTCCACCACACACCGTCTCCACCACACACCGTCTCCACCACACACCGTCTCCACCACACACCGTCTCCACCACACACCGTCTCCACCACACACACCGTCTCCACCACACACACCGTCTCCACCACACACCGTCTCCACCACACACCGTCTCCACCACACACCGTCTCCACCACACACCGTCTCCACCACACACCGTCTCCACCA